AGGCGTTGCTTCAATTAAGCTGGCAGCGAAGCCTTAACGAAACGGGGAAGGCACCTTTTCAATTTCCCCCAATTCCTGGCTATGTGACACAATTATCGTTTTCAGTAATAGAGATATGCCATACAATAACAACACGAACTATGTATTTTGTGATGATCCTTAAATCTTTATGGTGGTACTCGTAGTTATTTTCGTAAACTTAACGTGTCTAACTTGTTTACAAATTAAAAAGAGGTACGACGTAAATTGGCACAACCTATATTCTGTGTTCAACCGCAAACATTGATCTTTGGGCCAAGTATTTTCTCCAGTTGGTTTTTGACCTTGTTATATTTATGAATTATTTCCAGTTTGTGTTTCAACTCGCTTGATAGCAGCGTGAATCTCATGTTCAATAAATAGATGTTGGCAGCTGATGGCTTTCCGAGCCTTGCCTTAATTGAAATTGATGACTCACTTTTTTTTTCTTTGTAAGAATGAAATAACACGGACCAATCTGACCAGATTCCCGTTTATAATTTTCGTTAAGAATTGCTTAAATTTTTTATGATGAGCTGTAGTAGTATGAGATATAAAGCGTACAGTTCCTTCCCAGTGTACTGAGCTGTGAAAATCATAAGGCAAATTTTCTCAGTACTGAAGGCATATTACGAAAGTACAAAACTCAATTATTCATTTTTCCAAAAACTTGACATAATTGAACAAAAAATATTTCGACTTGTCATAACGCAATAACTTCTCTACTTCAGTTTCACTCTCTCCTCTATCTCGTTGCCCCATCTCAGTTGGTTGACGGTTTCCTGAAAGAAAACTCAAATTCTTAAAAACATTGTTCCAATCAAGCGAGGGCATTCGCAGGCAGGATAAGTATTGGGTTTTCTTACTTAAAGAGCTTTTTTCTCCTTTCTCACCGCCCATCTTCCACTGAAATTCGAGCGGCTATGAAGCGATTGATACACAACTTTCCAAATGTTCCACCGCCTTATCAAGAGGGCTCTTAGCCCGAAAACCGACTGCAAGGGTGGTCAGATGCTCTTATATAATGACTATGGGTTGTTAATGATAGGTTGTTGACCAATCATAGCGTGCATAGGATCTCAGCTAGTCATTAACTTCATAGCCCTGGTCGACGAGATTTAAACCTGCCATTCAGCGCACAAAATTTGGAAATAAAACTGATAAGCGCAGTTCGATAATAACTATGCACTCATGTGCACGGTTCATCAGAACCGAACCGACTTGTATCTACATGTAGCTTGTAAATATTATGGAACGTTTAATATAATGAAAAAAAATACTGCATCCCTATGAAATATGTCCTGTTTTCAATTGAACTGTATGCAGATTTCACAGATATTTGTACAAATGAGCTTTACGAAATACATAATGTCGTAATTAGATTTTAAATCGTTGCACATTTACAATTCTGATCCAGGATAGCTATACTAATTACTATTTGACCACTGCCCTATCATAATTACACAATTGCAATAAAATAGGTTTATTGAAACTCCCTTGACGATATGGCTCAATGCTTTTAATTTTCTGACAATCCTTACATGTATAGTTTGATATAAGTACAAAGGAACTCACTTTCCCTCTCTTTAAAGCAAATGTAAGTTTACCGCAGTGGTTTCCGTTCGGTACACAACTTCAATCATGATAGAGATAGTAGAGATGGTAAGTTTTGAGCTCGGTGAAGAATAAAAAAAGATGTTTTTTCGTTTTGTCACGAGTGTGGAATAAAGAAAAATTCTGAGTCCCCATGAGAAATCGTACCTCAGGCCTTCGGATTTGCGCTCCAATGCTCTACCACTGAGCCACAAAGACACTTCGATGAGCGAGATCTATTACGAAGTTCTTATGACACGCGTCCTGCATACTGCTAGGATCAGCAATGTCGATAGCGTAATGTTTTTTTGATAGAAATAGTAGAGATGGTAAGTTTTGAGCTCGGTGAAGAATTAAGAAAGGTGTTTTTTCGTCCTGTTTAAGATAAATTGTACGTTGGTTCTGTCTCCGAAGTCTAAGGTAAGACAGGAGACCATCTAAATGTCGTTGAGAAAAAATCATGAAGGCGAGTCAGCCGAAGCAAAACGGTTAAGAAATGTTTCCAGGAAATGTTTCATTGCATTTTACTTTTTCTAGTCCGCGTTTTGTTAATTCTCGTTTTACTATTCCTGTCCAGCCCAGTCCATTGTAGTGAAATCCAGTCCAGTGTCAAAATACAGTTTGCCCAGGCAGGCAGGCATGGGCAAGGAGTTAAATGAATTTCCTCCTTTATCACGGGTGGAATCACGCTCTGACATAACATAATACTATTACACAATTATTGCGTTACATAACAAACTAAAATTACCCAGGATTAAGTATCATCTCGAATTTTGTTTATGCAATCTTTACGGTTGTACAATCTTTTATATGATCAAGCATATCATAGCTGATCTGCTACACGAGTTGGTTTAAGAAAAGAGTTCGGCAGGGTCCTGTTATTTATGATAGAGAAACTTACCATATTATTCACTACGTGTGCGCTGTATTTAAGATCATTGCATAATGTTTCGTCATCAAATAGGAACTCTTGACTTAGGAACTCATGTGACCTTTCCGAATGGGGGATACGTGACAAACACACCACTTTCCACGCAACGCAACAGGAATATCATTTCATCATACTCTGAATACAACAAACACCGGTGAGCTAACTTGGACATAAGTTTTCCTTTCAATATTAGTAAACATGAGGGTACAAGTTGTTATGCTGCATATAATTTGGGTGATAATACTCGCTGTGTGTGTTCAGAAAACTGTGACAGTCCCTTTCGGAGGCTTTCGGAAATCGCCGAACAGAACAAACAGCTGTACATTGGACTCTGAATGTTCCCATGCACAAATATGCTGTACTGGTTCTTGTGTCGACACAAGAAATTCCAACTGTCACTTCTCCACTCCTGATGGTATAAGCTTTGGTGTGGTACTTGGACTGTTCATTTTGATTTGCTTAATCTTTGCCATCGTCTGGTTGGTTCGCACCTATAGGAGAAGGGCTCCTTACGACAGGTTGGGACATCAAAACCCATCCAATGTCGCAGCTGGCGAAGTGAATTTTGTTGAAGTCGAACAAAGGCCACCCCACCAAAGAGGGCTCCCGCCGTCCTACCACGAGAAAGAAGTAACACCCAACCCTCCACCTTTGTACGAAGAACGACTGAGAGCTTTTCCTCCTCCGTCCTACAGCACTGGATCAATTAAGGCAGATGAACCACCTCCCCCGTACAAAGAACCAAACTACTGAAGTTCTGATGGGGTTTATACGCCTCCGAACGCCACAACATTAAACTGACGGAAACTCTCAGTTCGTTTAAGATTTTCTTTACAACAACATCAGTCAGCCGCAGTGTAAGTTGGTGTGACGGAAATGAACAATTTTGATGACAAAAAAATTCATGTTCAAAGATTAAGAGCGAGTGTGACAAGATAACGCTTTGAGCAAACCTGTAGAGTAACGTTGGAGACGACTACACATTTGAAAAAAAGAAACAAAAAACAAAACCCAATCAAGGAAAGAGGATGTCAGCTGTTTACAACTGAAATTTCTAAGGACTTTACCAAGGATAAGAAGTGACAGTGACGTGTGTTGTTTTTTCGCCAGTTAAATTGCTGCCACTCATTTCCTCACTGTGATCGAACTCTCGACATTTAGCCATGTTTTTTTGATTCTGTGCGACTCGTTGTGTCCCAGGAACAAAATTTTTCACGAGAAGGAAATTGGTGCCGAGACTTTTCTCGCTCATTCCTTATCTCCAGCCTGCATGGAACTCTCGACAAACAAAAAAAGTAATTAAAAATATATTTAATTATAATTATTATTTTCGTACAGGGTGGGAAATATTACACTCTCAGAAATAAAAATAAAATTATCAGAATGTTACTTTCCTTTCCAAGTCGTGAGAAACTTTCCTCATTTTCATATTTGTCAAATGACTATTTCTATTAAATAGTGCGCCATTCCAAGGCTCAAAATGCGGTAAAGTATCGCCAAGAGGAAACATAGTTGCTACTTTTTCATGTCAGTTATCACCTTGCCTTTAAAATCCAATTACACTCTGACATCGGTATCCTTGATCTCCATACTCTTCTCCATTCCTTCGGTACAGC